GAAACGGTGCCCAGCTTGAAAGAGCTCCTGTGTGATAGATAGATAGATAGATAGATAGATAGATAGATAGATAGATAGATAGATAGATAGATAGATAGATAGATAGATAGATAGATAGATAGATAGATAGATAGATAGATAGATAGATAGATAGAACCAGATTGTGAGGAACAGCCCATAAATCAAATGTGACTTCACTGACATTTTAGGATCTATTTAACCTCCATGTAGCTTTTGCCTTGATTTCAAACTCTCAATTTTAAGGAATTTGTTTTTTTTAATAGGTTTGAATTGATTTGAGTTCTCCATTTTTGCTTTTACCTGGATTATTCTCCATCAGTGTCGTGATTCCCAGAACATCAAACTGCATTTAAAGTCAGACAGGTTATTTTGTCCCGATGATCTGCAGCTTTTTGATTTATTCAAAAGTGTTTCTGTTCAGTATTGTCTGCTAGCAGCTCTTCAAAGAGAGCGTTATAATACTCTCATTCTGGACTACAAGCTTTTTCTTTCATGTGCTTTGAACACTGCGTCTTAAACAGTAATGCGGCCAATTTCTGGACTTTTACAGGCTAATGAAATTAATCAATTAAATAATTAATTAATTAAAGGCTAATGAGCCTGTAGAAGTCCATCAGAAAGCAGCATGTCCCGTACGGATTTCTTTATGTTAGCGATACGTCTAAATAAACATCTCATGTAACAACGACGGCCTATAAATGTGTAGAAATTATCTTATTTTTAACGTTAGTGGGTGTGTCATAGCCCAAAATTGACAGTACACGACGTCTATTCTGCAATGGACAGCTAATGTACTTAAACTATGTTTATTTTAGTATTTTCTGTTAACCAAGTCCTATTGGCCAGTTACCTCTGGGCAGGAACAGGCCAGGTCCTAATTCATGCAGACGACAGGAATGTGGTAACAAATGGTGTGTGTGTGTGTGTGTGTGTGTTGACCTAAAGGTGGATCTAATGCAACAGAGAGAGAAAAAGCAAAATATAGTTACAAAAAAAACAAAAAAACAATCAGTAATTTAAATATGTGATAGCTTACAATGCTAAAATGAGTAATTATAGCCAAATTCTAACATTTCCAATGTAGAAGTATCCATGTTTTACTGTGTGTTTGCGAATGATAAGACTAAAACAACACAAGAAACTTATATTTTATTCATATTTGACATTTCCTTGACATTATCATGCTCATATTCTGTAGTTTTACTGCCCAAATCCGACTGTTTCACACTCTCACTCTCTTTTTTTCCTTCCTTTTATACATCTTCACTCTCCATCTTCTCTTAATGGCTCTGGTTCATGGCCACCGTGTTCCTCCGCTTCTCTCTCTGAATGTTACTCTCCGTTCTGTTTCTCTGTGATTCACTTCTCTTCTTACTTTGGGGTAA